ACATATTTTTAGACAAATTGGTGCAGAAAAAAAATGAAATATCAAATATCGGGAGCTAGTATTATATGGGGGCTATCCCAAAACCTGGACCGATTTACAGGGTTGCCGATATTCGACGGACCTTTGGGCACATTCCAATCGACGAGGCTTGTCCGCAGGCCTCAATTGAATTGAATTTTTTTTGCCTCAATTGAATTTTGTACGGCAACAAATGCAAATTAATGCGAATAATCCGTTGTAAAGTGGACCGAGCCATGCCCAACTGCTGAGAACGGCGTTTTTGGGATGTTCTTGGGGACCTCTCAACACTGGCTCGTACGGCAGCGATATTCTCGGCCGATCGCCTTGGTCGAGTTTTATATGGCCTCTTCGGATTAGAAAGAGCCTTACCAGTCGAAAATTTTTCGTATAAACGCTTAATGGTGTTCTTAGAAGGCGCACTTCTCACATTTTTAATGTTTTAGAAGCACGTTGAGCTTTTACAATTGATTTTTGTAAATTTCAACTATTTCAATTGACTTTTGTAAATTTCAACTATACCATGAACCAATACACGCTCGCGTGGCGTGTATTGATTCATGGTAAAAATCTGCTTGGACTGACGCTTCAAATGCGGTATGTCATTAAGCGATGTGACATCTCTGTCAAAAGTTATGGCGTTGCCAGATGGGTCCGTCGAATATGGGCAACCCTGTACCTCATTTTCAATACCATCCATCCTAGACACAGTACAAACTGCTGTGTTCCAAAGTGGAGGGAATAAAAATAGATCAAAAATTTATCATTTACGTTTCCCTGAAAAACAATATTTTTCTAGTTTATATTGTGATAAAAAGTTGGTTTTGGAAATGTGTATTTCAAGTGCACGAAAAGTACTAAATGGTACTATATTTGGTACAATTTGGTATTGGGTGAACATATGTTGCATGAAATCTGGTATTGGAGTCGCTGTTCGTGTGGGGCCTGAACATATGGATGTGATTTCGAAAATGTGTACTATAATTATATGAAAGTACTAAATGGTACAATTTTTGGCACTGGGTCAAGGGATAGCGATAAAATTCTGAGATGTGACATTTAGATTACTGATGGTATCTGTGTTTAAGATTTGGCGTTGGCTTGGAAATGCGTTCTATATTTGTACGAAAATTACTAAATGGAACCAAATTTAGCATTTGGTGAAGGGATAGAGGGCTGGAATCCTCAAATTTGTTATTGAGGTCTCTGTCGGAATCTAGAAATAAGATATAAAGGTGGTTTAGGAAATGTGTACTATAATTATTCGAAAAGTTGTAAATAGTATTTTATCATGTGTTGGAGGAAGAATGGATCTGAATATGATATAAATTCAGAATTTTATCCTTATATCTTCACTCAGTATCAAATATAGTACCATTCCGTACTTTTCGTACAAATATAGTACACATTTTCTAGACCACCTCCATATTTCCAGGCTACACATGGAAAGCGACCCTAATACCAAATGTCAGATTCCAAGCACTATATGTTCACCCAATACCAAATTGTACCATATTTAGTACTATTAAGTACTTTTCGTGCACTTGTACTACCCATTTCCAGAACCACATATTTTTAACAAAACTACCACCAACAGGAACCCAAATATAAAATTTCAAAATGCCATTTAGTACAGTTCGCACAGTTAGTACACATTTCCAAGACCACCTCCCTTCACTTAATACCAAATATAGTACCACTCAGTACTTTTCGTACAATTATTACATTTCCGAAACCATCTTCATATGTCCACGCTACACATGATCAGCGAACCCAATTCCAAATTTCAGATTTCAAGCACTATCTGTTCTCCCATTTTACCAAATATAGTACTATTTAGTTCTTTTCGTGCACGTGTGTAGAACACATTTTCAAAACCACCTATTTTTAACAAAACTACCATCAACAGGGACACCAGTACAAAACTTCAAAACTCCAACTTCATCTGTTCACGTTAAACCAAATCGTTCCAAATTTAGTACCATATAGTAAAGTTCGCGCAGTTAGTACACATTTCCCAAACCACCTGCATATATCAAATTTACTTACCAACCTTGATTCTCATACAGAATTTCAAGTCTTTAGCTCTATCCGTTCACATAGTACCAAATGTTACAATTTTAGAAGATTAGAAGTTTTCCTAAGCTTAAAGTTCGAATTTCCAAAAATTCTTGGGTACATCTATCCTACAATCCATCAGTGACTCTCATTCCAAAATTCTGAGTTCGAGCTCATTCTGTTTGTCAGATCCGATCAGTATTAAATTCTTAGTAGATTTTAGAATTTTTCGTACAAATTTCCAAGAATTTATCTCCTGTTCACAGAACTTTTGTTAAAGGCAGACATGCAATTGCTACCCAGACAATCAAGTTTGTATTTCAGTTCATTTACTTTTTTGTCAGGGAGTAAAAGCTCATTTCACCTATTGCCCTACTGTCAAAAATTTTTTTTATGTTTCCAAAAAGGAAAATTGAATTATGGAATTATGTCCGCTTCCAGAATGGACACAATCCCCTTAGGGAGTATGACTATTAGCTGAATGGACTATTTACAAAAATAATTAATTTTAGAAATCTTTGATTCGCGGTAACCGGTGCGTGACATACTCTCTTACTCCCCGGCCAAAGGCTGATTACTTACAAAAATTATGAAATTAGGGTGCCGAACATACCTGGGGGAGAACATCTCAATTTTTTCGCACACCCAATCGTTTTGGGCATACCCATTATTAAATGGATTATGTCCGCAACTTTCTGGGAATTATAACCGAACCCCACGGTCATAACCCCTATAATAATGGATTTGTCCAAAGACTTTATGTCCGGCACCGGCAAACGCGATCCAAATTTTACTACATTTAATAATTTTTGTAAGTAGTCCCCACAGCAAACTTTAATATACCCCCCTTTTTTTGTGGGGATTATGATCGAAAAAAGGTCATAATCCCCATTGCAATTATGGGTAGGGCTTATGTCCGAGCGCCGGTTTTGGATTTTCCATTTTAAATAAATATCTACCTATCGATCGGACCGATTTAGCTATGTGTGTCCGTCTGTCCATTTTTATTTTTATTTCGCTACAGATCACAATTATGACGCAAACCTCACCAAATTTTGCGTTGAGTCACAGTTAGGGTCCGAATAAAAACCTTTCAAAGGCTTCAAAAGGACCAACAAGAGATTTTTCAGATTTTGTAGTCTCTCAGGTCATAATTTGCGCCTAATTTTGCGTGGGGTTAGAGTTTAGAATAGCGAAGAAGCGCACCTGTTGGGATCGACACAGCACAGCGGATGAAATGGACCCTATATTTTGTGTGAAATTGTGAATAAACGATTGATATTTATACCCTACACCACAAGGTGGTCAGGGTATTATGTCTTTGTGCATTTGTTTGTAACAGGCAAAAGGGAACGAGATAGACCCATAGTTCCTTTTGATGATCTGCATAGAATCATATTCTGAGTCGATTTATGCATGTCCGTCCGTCTGTCCATGTATTTTTGTAAACAAAGTACAGTTCGCAATTATTGCCCGATCCAGATGAAATTTTGCACAAATCATTTGTTTGGCCCAAGGACAAACCCTATTGAAATTGGAGATAATCGGCCAAAATTTAGATATAGCTCCCATATATATCTTCGTCCGATTTGCCTTTTATTGTGCACCAAATATCAGCCCGAATAGTATGAAATTTTGCACATACAACCAAACTAGGCCTGAAAATAAGTATGCCAAATTTAATCGAAATCGGTTCAGATATAGCTATAGCTCTTATATATATTGTTCATCCGATTTGTTTTTTTTTGGCCTCCGCAGCCGTAATATGCACTCTGTAACAACAATATTTGGGGGAAATATATCAAATACAGCCCAGAAATACATGTGCCAAATTTTATCGAGATCGGTTCAGATTTGGATATAGCTCCCATATATAAATTCGTCCGAATTACCTTATATTGTGCACCAAACGTCTAATATTTGTCCAAATGGGATGGAATTTGGCACTTAGGACCGAATTTAGTCTAGAAGCTAGTATGTCAAAATTGGTGAAGATCGGTTCAGATATAGCTATAGCTCCCATATATACTGTTCATCCGATTTGTTATATTTGTTACCCACAGCCGTAATATACACTCCGTAATAACGATATTCAGGGAAATATATCAAATGCAGCTCAGAAATATCTTTGCGAAATTTTATGGAGATCGGTTCCGATTTGGATATAGCTCCCATATATATCTTTATCCGATTTCAAATTAATTGTGCACCAAATAGGAAATATGAGTCCGAATTTAAAAGATACAAATACTTCGCCATATTTAGTCCTTTGAACTTTAAATTATAATTATAATCATAGCGTGTATGATTGAATTCTCCAATAAGAACTTTTTATTGTCATGCGCAGCTCTACTAAATTAGCAAAGTGGTGTAGGGTATCATAAAGTCGGCCCACCCGACTTTAAGACTTTCTTTACTGGTTTTGATTGTCGACTTTGGCATTTCGTTTTGTTTGTGTTGGAAGAAAAATAAGTTTGCTGAACAGGCTATTAGCCTTATTGCACACCTACGCACCAAGACTGACCCTCGTGCAAATTCCTCTTCAAATTCTGAATTTTTCAAAATAATTACGCAGTAAAATAAATTGCAAAAAATTGACCCTGGGGATATGCAGCTGTTTGCAAAAGCGTTCAACGTAGAACAAATTTTTAAACGTTTATTACAAATATTCCGTACAAATGTTAATAAAGCTTCACAATCTTGCATACTCTTCGAATTTCGGAATGTAACATAGAAAAGGGAATTGATTGAGGATTGCCACTTGAGCCGTGGTCTTCTCTTCCACCAATTGACGTTTGTTTATCGCAAATATTAATGTGTGAATTTACACTTTGAATTATTTTTTTTTATTAAATTTCCAATTTAAAAATATAATTATTATTCAAAAAAAGCCTACATTAATCTTCTTTCTTCTCCCATTTCAGCTTGATTTGATGACATACCTAAACCAAAATGCATAATCCCAACAACAACAATAACAATAATACCACAACAAATACACTAAACAGTCATAATTTAAAAAATTGTTATTATTACAACAACAATAATAATAACAACAACGCCATAACTACAAATAATAATCAAAATGCCTTAGGCAATAATAATAATAACATGTTGCAACCGCAGCATCAATTGTTGCAACATCACCAACAGCAGCAGCAACAACAACAGCACGTGCGTGTCAGTAATTGGGTGCAAGATACATCACGCACACAATATCTATGCCAACAACAGTTGTTGCAACAGCAAGAATATTTGCTACAACAACAACAACAATATCACAATTATGCTCAACAACAACAAACCCCACCTCAAATGTCGCCAACTGCAACAGCAGCAACAACAACAACGATCTCGTCATTACCTTCAATGAATTTCTATGCCAATCAGCAGCAAGCGCAACACCAGCCACCACAACTATCGCCACAAATACATGCGCAGCATCCAACACAACATAGGTTGCCATGTAGCATACAACAGCAACAACAACAGAATTTAAAAACAATGCTACCCCAACAAACACTAACATCGCAACAACAACATCAACAACAAATTTTAACACCCGCCCATTCACCAGTAACCGCAACCTCAAATCGCCAAACATCTTTGCAGCATCCCCGTCTACAGCAACAACATCTATCGCAAATGCAGCAGCACCAGCATCATCATCAACAGCAACAAATTTTATCACAACATCAACGAAGGGTAAGTGTTGTTGTATTTTTTGTTCTTATTTTTTGCTCTTTCTTTCTTTCTTCTCCTTAAGACCATCTCCTGGGGGGAAGATGATCTCTTTCTCTGAAATATTATAAAAATAATATACATACCTTCATACATCAGTATATATAGGTGCATATCATGTATAGTGTTGTCGAATCGCAACATAGCTGTTGTCGCTTTCGTCGATCATCATTTCCACTTCGTGTGTTTTCATTGGCAGAGAAGAGAAAGAGAGAGAGAGAGGTTCCCCCTTCCATTTTTCACGTTCTTTGCTGTCTCTTCTGATTTGTTGCATTTGTCGTGCGCTCGCTCACGTCTCATTTTTTGTTAAGAGGAGGTGGAGTCTTCTACTGAATTTGCATCCAAAGAATAACAATGTACATACATACAGACATCTGTATGTACCCACCTTCTCCATACATACAAACATTTATATAATATAGGAACTTTCAATTGTTTTATTTCGTATTTGATGTCGTCGCTTTCAATTTGTGATGTCACATTCAAGCTGTGTAATTAAGTTATAGGGGAAATGTCGAAAGGGGTTGCAAATAGAAACGATATGGTTTGATCTAGGGTATGTTGGTGGTGTACAGACTAGATTGAAATAGGTTTGCCAAAAATGTATCAAACAATTTAAAAAATTTAAAGTATGAAACTTATATTTGTGAATTATAACTTACCTTAAGTAAATTCTTTATCTTAGGTAAATTCCCTCAAAATAAACCTTTTTTGGAAGAGGAAGTGGACTTGAAAACATATCTCAGCTACACTTTGCACTTGGCCCCACGGCTGGTTATGATGAGAATAACTTCTGCTTAAATTGTTTCGAATCGACAAGTATATAGTTATAGTTCAAGTTATAGTTCACAAATATAAGTTTCATAATATTTACTCTATAATAATATGCGATACGAGTACGGTACTTTTGACAAATTGGGTCGAAAACGGTTCAGAGATATATATATTGCCCTAATTTTTTTTGTAATTAATACACCAACCGCGCTTTTTTTCGTCTAATTAGGTCGAGTCTTCCATTATACGACTAAATTCGGTCAAGATTAAAGTCTTCCATATTTGGCCCAAATCGATTCTTATATAGCTATAGCTCTCATATACAAGGCTGCGCAGATGAATCGTCCTATCAAAAAATGCTATAAATTTTACGAAAGACCCCTAATGTCTTAATTACAGCCAATTACAGTTTTGAATAACCAAATCCGAAATAAGCATTCGGTTCTCTTCATATTTCACACATCCCACTATTTCTAGTAACACAAGACCTGCTGTGAAAATTGGATATATCTGCGCACTCCTTCTTCTACCTCCTCCACAAAGGATCAACAGAATATCCACGAAGCTCATAAAACGCGAAATCAGTATCCTGTTTCATCCAGACTTGATACATCTCAATACTTCCTTAAACACAAGATATGTTATAAAGATGGTGGAGATCGGACCATTTCTTCTGGTACCTGCCCCACAAATTTCACTATCTGCGGTATTTTGGCCCATTCCCGGGAAAACGCTTACTTGAGGTGATCGACACTTTCGTTTTTTTTAATGCCAACCTAACTTCCCAAAATACTCCAGACACAATAGTCCAACGGATTGGTATCTCATATTGGTGGCGCGTGCTGAGTCCTGTTGGAATATCCAAAGTCTGCGGCCAAAATGTTTCCGTGCCCAAGGCTTTAATACACCCTGTGGAATATTTTCGCGATAATATTTGGCATTTATTCTGATGCCACAGTCGATTAATACGAGCGGAGAGCGACCATCGGCTGTTATGGCGGCCCACACCATCACCATGGCCGGCGTTTGAGTTCTGGTGGCCAACCGAAGGTGCACATTTTCAGATAACCTCTTTGGCAAGTAATCATGATTATTTTGTTTGTTTACAAACTGCTGGACAACGAATGTTTTCTCATCGAAGAAAACCAAATACTGCCGCACTTTCGGCCAAGCTAAGCAACTCTTTATTATACCCTCCACCATACTATGGAGGGTATATTTACTTTGTCATTCCGTTTGTAACTCCTCGAAATACTCATGTCAGACCCAACAAAGTATATATATTCTTGATCAGCGTAAAATTCTAAGCCGATTTAGCGATGTCCGTCTGTCTGTCTGTCTGTTGTAATCACGCTATCTATCGAATGACTAGAGATAGATGGCTAAAATTTTGCACACATGTTTAGTTTTCTAGTAGGCAGGTTAAGTTCGTGCATGGGCCATGTAGGTCCACGTTTTCATATAGCCCCCATATAACGGTACCTCCCGATATTCGGTATTTTGATGATTTTAGCGACATTATTCACCGGAATTGTTTCAAATTTGGCATTTGAAGTTCGCAATGGATACTACAGCCTAAGACAGAAAATTGTCTGTTCAGGTCCACGTCTTCGTATAGCCCCCATATAACGGTACCTCCCGATATTCGGTATTTTGGTGATTTTAGCGTCTTTATTCACCAAAATTTTTTCAAATTACGCATTTAGAGTTCGTAATGGAAACTCCAGTCTGTGACAGAAAATTGTCTATGCAGGTCCAGGTCTTCGTATAGGCCCCATATACCAGTACTTCCCCATATTCGGTATTTTGACGAGTTTAGGTACAATACTCACCGAAGTTGTTTGAAATGTCGTATTTGAAGTTCGTAATGGATGCTACAGAATATGACAAAAAATTGTCTACGCAGGTTCAGGTCTTCGCACAGCTCCGATATAACGGTACCTCCCTATATTCTATACTTTGATGATTTTAGCTACATTATTCGCGTTTATTTCAAGTTCCGAATTTGAAATTTTGCATCATGTATAAATTTGGGTCAGGTATAACTTGTAACATTTCATTGTTATTCCTTATAATAAATTTAAAAATGAGTTTGCTGGGTTAAAAAAAAAATTGTATTAAATACCGTGGGCAACGATTTTAGGATTCTGCCAAGACTACATTATTCGTGTCTTCTTCCTTATATTATTTAAAATATTTTCAAATGAAAAGATGATAAACATTAAATGATGTGACAATTTCCTAACATCTGGTCAAATCTCATCTAAATAATGATGGCCTTCTTTACGGTGTCACACTTAGTCACTGATTTCCACACATCCATACACACACACAAACAGCCACAAAACAAACGAAAAATAGAAAACCAAACACAAATGATCTCGTTTTTTAATATTAGAGGTAATTTATTATTAGCCATCCAATGTTGTTGCGTGTTAATCCTTAGCTGCTAATATAAATTGTTTTCGCTTCATCACCGAAGAAATTTATTGTTTTGAAATCGTTTTTTTCGAACAAATCCAATGCTGTCACATTTCAAAAAAATATTTGAAAAAAAGAAAAAATCTGACATCTTTCTGTTCATTAAGAATATTTCTTTGATGAGGGCATAACAAAAGTGGTCGCACATATTTTTTAAATCCCAGATGTGTATGTGTGTGTGAGTGTTTGAAATTCATTTGATGGCCACATGACAAATTATGGTGGGTTTTTGCATACCTACATGTACATGTATATTATTTTAATCCTTAATATTTTTGTATGCATTTTTAAGATTTTTTCAAAATATGTATGTATGTATGTACGTGGAAACATCAAACCTCAGATGCACATGTTTCTGTCCAATGTGAATAATGTTGCCAGGGAAGTGGGCAACGTTGAGCGACCGATAAACGATCTTCGCCTCGTACACAATGACGACATTGATTAAATCGTTTACATTAACACAACATGTTGTAAATGGCGAATACTAGAACTCACACGATGCTGCTCTATTAATTTCCGAACAAATAACCTGAAACAATTTTAGATGACAAAACAAGATTTTGTCGAAAGTTGTTTTTTTTTTACACCAGCGGTCAAAATTGTACAGACTTAAAAAAATAAAAACAAAGAACTAACTGCCACATATCAAAGGGGTGACCTGAAATAACCAAGTAGTTGTAATGAATAATAACAAAACAAGTTAAAAAGTATCAGTCGGTTTTGTCGACTTTGCCATAGTTCGATTATTTAAATATATTTTGATTTCTGTTATGGTTAATCAAATTGTTGACCCTTTATGGTGTAGGTTCCGAAGGACCAGACCAATATTGTCCATTTCATATTGGACCTAAATAAATATAAAACAAGTAAAAAAAGCTGTAAGTTCGGCCGGGCCGAACTTTTAATACCCTCCAACATTTGGTACAAATTTGGCAATTTCCAAAATTAAAAAATTTGTTAAATCTTAAATTTGTTAAATCTTAAAATTTTGTTAAAATCTTAAAAAAAACCGAATGCTTATACGACGACGTGGGCCTGCATAGGCAACTTTTGTCATAAGTTATTACAATATTTGAATGCGAAACTTGAAGAAAAATCTGTTTATAATGTAGCTAAAATCATCAAAATACCAAATATGGGGGGTACCGTTATATGGGGGCTATACGAAGGCGTGGACCTGCACAGACAATTTTCTGGCATGGGCTGAAGTATCCATTACGAACTTCACATGCGAAATTTGAAACAATTCCGGTAAATAATGTCGCTAAAATCATTAAAATACCGAATATCGGGGAGTACGGTATATGGGGGCTATATGAAGACGTGGACCTATATGGCCCATTTTCTGTTTTACGCTGCAGTATCTATTACGAACTTCAAATACCAAATTTGGAACGATTCCGCTAAATAATGTCGCTAAAATCATCAAAATACCGAATATCGGGGGTACCGTTATATGGGGGCTACACGAAGACGTGGACTTGCACAGATAATTTTCTGTCTTAGGCTGTAGTATACATTACGAACTTCAAATACCAAATTTGAAACGATTCCGGTGAACAATGTCGCTGAACTCATCAAAATACCGAATATCGGGGGGTACCGTTATATGGGGGCTACACGAAGACGTGGACCTGCACAGATAATTTTCTGTCTTAGGCTGTAGTATCCATTACGAACTTCAAATGCCAAATTTGAAATAATTC